CCGCTCTCTTTCCTGCCTATGCAGGGGGTCGGATCATCATCTATTGAGGTCCCTTCTGACCCTAACATCTATGAATCTATTCAAAGTTGCATCTGATTTATGCAATAAGAGATGACAGGCCTTTGTGTGTGACATTTGCTGTTTTGTCACTTAGCTGGGTATTTCATAGACATTAGGGCTGGAAGGGACCCCGGAGGATCATCGAGTCCAGTCCCCTGCCCCAGCGGCAGGAAGTCAGCAGGGATCATAGGATCCCAGCAAGATAAGCATCCAAAAGTGTCTTGAAGGCGTTCATAGTGGGTGTTTGAACCACCTCCGGCGGCAGTCTATTCCAGACCTTGGGGGCTCAGACAGTACAGAAGTTCTTCCTTATGTCCAGCCTGAATCGGTCACAGCGGAGTTTGTGACCATTCGATCTTGTCATCCCTTGGGGCGCTCTGGTGAACAGACATCCCCCAGATCCTGGTGAACACCCCTAACAAACTTATAGGCGGCCACCAGATCACCCCTGAGCCTGTGATTTTCCAGGGTATTTAACCCACTAATATGCAAAGGATATTAAAAATCACTGCTGGAAACTGGAGATTCTCCCTGCTTTGTCTGCAGTGGTAAGAGGAAGGGATTGGAAAAGGTACATTGGGTTTGGGGAAGGAGGGACGAAGTCCTGTATTCTGTGACTGTATGGGCATTTAACAGCTTTCTTTGCGGAGATGAAGTGAAGAGGTAGCCACAAGAGATTTGCTGTTATATAACCCAGAAGCCCAAGGGAGTAGAGGGAAAGAAGCTCCTAAATATTGTAATGGGTTCTGTACTGGCACATGACAGTAGAATAGCAGAAGTCGGTGCAAAAAGGCAGAGACTCAGAAGTGAAAATTGCATTGTTCTTGTCCTTCTCTTTTGTTTGTGCTTCCTCTGGGTTGCTTTTCAGCATGACAGAATGTTACCTGGGTTCTGTGGAGAGGTTTTCAAGCCATCCTAATGTTTTCTGACAGCAACATGGTCATCTGAGAGCTCTGGAGACCAGAGAGCTGGGAGGAAGAGGGATAGCTAGTTTTAGCTAATGAGTTGTGTCAGATGTGCTTTCATTTACTAATCTTTAGGCATTAAAACAGTAACTACTCTTTAATCACATTGCCTCGGCCCCTCTCTCTCCCGCACATGCTTTTCTTTTGTGCATCCTGGTGGTGTGTAGTTTTAAACTGGCCAATTTTCCATGTGGGATGCTAAAAGTGTGAAATAGTTCTCACTGCATTTGCCTTGTTCTTTACAGCTATTGCCATGCTGTTCGTTCAAAGAAGAAATGATTTGTTTCAAAATGCTCAAATACCATAGTCAGTCATTAAACTACCTGCCATTCCAGCAGCATTTGGGACGAGGAATACAAATAATCGAATGGCAAAGAGAACCTCTCTTCTGCCTTCCTCACCATCTCTCAAGCAGTTGTATTTTTAGGTGCTTATTACTATGCTATCAAGTACTGTACTGTTGTTTCTTCTCTCTGTGCCACTCTTCTATTTAAAGGGACACAGCCAAGATAAAAAAATAGACACTAAAAAAAGACTCCTTATAATTTTTAAATATTTCCATTTGACATGTCTAATCATGCCTATTCACCTTTTTTGGTTTTGACCTTACTTGGACAGTGAATTTGGCTTATTCAGCTTCACTTTCAGGCCTTACTTCCTATTTTAATAGGATTGTGCTTTTGTGTCTGGCTCCTTATGGGAAAAGAACTTAATACATATCGAAACCTCTTTTCATGTAGCTCCTTTTAAGATGCTTTCCTTTGGTCAGCATCTCCTGAAGCAGCTGGGAGGTAGCTATGACAGAGCTCAATGTGCTGTGGTTTAGGCTCTTGATACCTAAGTCACTAATGGCTTACAGGGTGCAGCTGTACAACGACAGGCAGCTGAGAGTGGGGGAGGTTAAAGCAGTGCTAATCAAGGTCTTGTGGCACCCTGAGGTGACATGAGATCTGTTTAAGGGTGCTGTGTGCTGCTCTGTGTACCTAGGTGTGCAAACATTTACACGTGAGTCACAAGACAAACCCAGGGATTTCAAATACGAATCTAGAGTGTCAAAACATTCTGGCTGTTGTGGTCTTTCAGAGCAATTTGCAACAGAAGAATTGCTAAAAAGGTTGAGAACCACTGAGTTAGAGCTAGAGCACTGCCTACTGACTGTCTGCCAGGATACCTGGGCCCTATTCCCGGACCAGCTTCTAGCTCTTGTTCTAACCTTGGGCAAGTCACTCTTCATACTCAACCTGCCTGTCTACTTGGTGAGAGTGATTTCGGAGTATCTCATAAGGCAGTCATGAGAACTGAATGATATTGGAGAGAAAGGTGCCCTCTGCATGTGTAAAATAATACTTATTAAGTAGCAAAGTCTGCAAAATGCTTATGCTTTTCTAAAGTAACTTTTGCCTTTCCCCTTTTTGCAGGCATGGCCTTAGCACAGCGCCAGGTCACTGTCCAGAAGGGCCCCCTGTACCGCACCGAGGGTTCCCACATCACTCTCTGGTGCAAGGTCAGCGGCTATCAGGGACCTTCAGAGCAGAATTTCCAGTGGTCCATTTACCTGCCCTCTGCCCCAGAGCGGGAAGTGCAGATCGTCAGCACCATGGACCCCTCCTTCCCTTATGCCATCTATACACAGCGTGTCCGCAACAGGGAGATCTATGTGGAGAGGGCTCAAGGAGACTCCGTCTTGCTGCACATCACCGAGCTCCAGGACCGGGATGCTGGCGAGTATGAGTGCCACACGCCCAACACTGATGAGAGGTACTTTGGGAGCTACAGTGCCAAGATGGACCTTGTGGGTAAGATGTCTGCTTTAACTTGGCTACCTGGAACCCCGCTCACTGGATACTGGGTTTCTCCTGAACTGAATGTGCTAGAATTCAGTAAGGCCCTTGCGTTGAATTTTCCATGCAAACTGTCACAGTAGTCTTTAATAACTAAAAAATACAAGAGAGCAGACAGCATGGAGCCCAAAACAATAGTGCAGAGACAAACCAGAATAAAATAAATGTCCAGTGAAAAGGCCAATAAGAAAGGAGGAACCAAGAGTTTGAAGTCTCAGCTGACAGTAAGACAGACATGGTGTTGATTTACACATAATGACAGGAAGGTTGTTCCAGATAGCAGAAGCTGCAGAGGGGAGAGCTTTCATGTCAGAGGTGGCAAGAAAGTGTGTCAAAAAAGGGAGGAAGCAATTGCTAAATGAGCAAAAAAAAGTGATTAGAGAGGCAAGGTCTGAAGCAGAAGGTGATGTTGAGATGGATGTGGTGGCGCCTGGGCTCCATGTTGATGACCATGGCAGCAATGCATTTTCCTCTGAACCAGAAGAATCCAAAAGAGCAGTTGTATTTATTTATAATCTTTTTGGTCCATTGCTTGATGTTTCCTTGCACCTTTCAGACAAAAAACTCCTGAGATTTTTTTCCCCCAAATAGAAGCTAGTAAAGCTTCAGAACATCCCTGTCAGGTTTGGACTGGCATTATCCCAATTTAATAGGTGAGAAAACCACGGCATCACATTTAAAGGCTTCTCTACATAGGGAGGCGATTAGGAAATAAGCACGGGTGTGAGTTTAAAATCAATGGCTAATCTGCAGTAGCTCCCCAGGTGGATGCCCTGAATCCTCACTAAGTATGCCTTTTTGCAGTTGAGCTTAGCCTTCTTTGGATGTGTCCAGTTGGAAAGCTATTGCAAAGCATTTCCTGGCATATAAAAGCCATGCATATCTTGTAGACCTGGTCCCAAGTGACTTCTTGAGCCATTTAGTTAATCTTTTTATTTTTATTTTTTTAGAGCTGGCAGTAGAAACCAGAGTGCAGGACTCTCCAAGTCACAGTCTTTAATCCGTTTCTTATACTCCTTCCCTTATATAATGAATAGTAGGGTAACAGAACTGGTGGGCTGAGGTGGAAAGAGATTTGAACTTTTCCTGCCCATGGTGTAGGCTACGTTAGGAGCAGGTGGTGTGATATAGTCTGACAAGCTGCAAGAAACGAGGATTGAGGAAACCTGCGTTCTCTTTCTGCCTCTGTTCCCATCATGCACTGTGACCTTGGGTGAGCATTTATATGCTGTGTGCCAGGCTTCCCATCTGTGAAATGAGGATAACAGAGACTTGGCTCATGGGAGTATTTTGACTTAATGTTTCTGAGGTCCTATGCTGAAAGATACAGTAAAATGACAAAGCTTTATTGCTGACTCATTGCATGATCCCCTAAATGCATAGCATGGCATTTTAGAAGAGTCCATCTGTGAAGATCAGCTGCTTGGCACTAGTGTTAGGGAAATAATAGTGATACCCAGCTCTCATGGTGCATATTCAGCTTATGTGATCATGAAGATGCTTCTTCCATGGGCCTGTGTCTTCTTTCAAGCTAAAATTCAGAGGACAGTGTTAAACAGTGTATTCAGGAGACACCTTGAAAGTTGTTCTCATTGGAAAATATTCTTCAGTCCACACTTTGTATCTTTTGTTGTTTCCTGAATTCTTGTAGGATACTTAAAAGCAACCAAAAATCATATTTCATTCTGTCCAAACTCCCTGATGTGTATTCCTCACCAGACGTCTCAGTTCTCTGTCATCATAATTATTATGGTTTCTTTACAAGGAGACATCACACATACAAGGTTCTGACTTGAAAGGAAGCAGGAGCAGATGAGCTCCTGCAAAGCACAGATTTCCATTTTAAATGTGAACTGTCCCTAGAAACCCAAGTACTAAGGGAAGAGAAATGTAGCTGAAATGCATTAATTTTGTAAAAGGTTGTCCTCTTCCCCCAGGAGAAGCTGGCCTGCCCCTGACAATCCATCCTGCATTGCCTGACGGGATTTGACCTTGGGTTAACAAGCACTGGGCTCTGTTTCCATTTTGAATGCTGTTAAACAGTGATTGTTTTCCCCAGAGGGCAGGAGGGGATATATGTATGAATTGGCCATGAGTTCCCTTCCTGAAGGCCAATTGTGCAGCTCAGCAGGCTGAATGGAGCCATAGAAGGCAGGCAGAAAAGTAGTAGTGCATGTGGGACAATTGGCTCTTTTTTCTGCTTGGGAGTCAGAAATGGACACTATCACTTTCAGTTGCAGGTCATCAGAGCGATGAGTTAGTGCCTCTAGGATTGTTAAGTGCAGGTCAGCAGCTTGAATAGTGGGTAGTCAGCATTTTCATGCAGGTGTTATAGGCTATCCTCGGTTGCTGGTCTAGAAAACTTTTCTTAACCTGCTTCTAGCACTATCCTATAAGTGTCTGCAAGCTGGTTCTTAAGTAGATGTTCTTTTTGAGCTGTATTTTGAGAACATGTACCTTGGGGCTTGTCATGGTAAGGGCAGTCAAGAATACGAATCCCAACTAACTTTTTAGAGGTTTAGTTAAACTGCATTAAACCCCTGCATGACTCTTTCTTGCAGAATTTCTTGTGGCCTTAATTTGCTTCAAAAGTGAATTTTCAGAAGTGAATTAAGCTAACTCAAATTAGGATCACTAATTCTGAATGGCATTGCTCATGCCTCTTTGGCTGCAGTTTAACCCATCCATTTCAAAATTTGGGTTAATTTTCCATTGTGCCCCCATGTTGATAATTCCTATGGGTCTTACTCTTTTAAAACACTCTACTTCTAGGGGCCAGATATTTCTCACAGGCAGGCCCTTGGAGAATGATTCCAGTCTGTACTGAATATATCTACACTGCCTAGTTAACCTGCTTTGTACTTGCGTTTTAGCCTTAAGCCCTCTACTGCCCACTGTAGCACCTCTGACTGAGTTTGGAGGTGCTGTGAGCCTGGACTCTTATTTACCCAGCTGGGAGGCTGGGATACAATTAGTTCAACTTGGGCCCAAACCCACCCACTTTATAGGGAGTTCACAGGAAATATTACCAAAAGGCTGATAGCCCACCAGTGCCCCTCCAATAACTACCCGGAGCAAAGGACAGTTATATTCTTCTATATCTTTCTCATCCAGTTGACTGGGCACAAAGAACTAAGGCATTGGTCCCCAGGCACATCTCCGGCTATTGCAGAAAGAGCGCAGGGACAACAGCAAAGAACACTGGTTTTGTAGTGGGCTTGTTCACAGCTGGGCCAGACCATTCAGTTGCGGTAACTGGATGGTGTAGACATAGCCTCCAATGTGCCTTAGCACTCAGTCATGGCTGTAATTCTTAGAGCAGCAGTTGGAGCATGTCTTCATAGCACAGTTAACCTGGACTCTTGGATCTTTCTTGCAAACAAACCTCTTGCCCAAGTCTGATTCTTTAAATCTGGCCCACTGGCCTGGCTGGTGGCATGGGCTAAAATCTGAGCTGTGCTTTCACTGATGCTAGTGACCCACCACTTGCATGTGTACTCCACTAATTTACTTGGGTACTAGTGCCAAAAGCTACAAGAGTTGATTACAAGAGTCCTAGTGTCTCATAGGACTTCGCCACCTCTCATCTGTCTGAAAGGTTTGGTTTTGTCTGCCCTGCAACTTGCTTCTTGTGATATTGGGCTCAAGGTCAAGCAAGCACCTATAGGACTAGATATTTCAGTGATTTCTGTAAAGGAGAAGAGTGAAATACAGTATCGTCACAGATCAAGGCAGAGACTATTTTCAGAGCGGCTTTCTTAGTTACCTCTGGGCAGGAATAGAAGAGTTAGCAGATACCCATGCTGTCAAGTGGAAAATGCTGGAGCACCTGGATTCACCCTAGACATGCCTGAAGACAGAGCAGAATGAGGAGGAAGGCTGGGGGGAAAGAGAGAGATCTTCTCCTCTAAAATAGTCATCTCCACTGTTCTGCTTGCTAGTGTAAAGAGAATCCCCTCTGAGCTGAGGGAACTCCCTCTGAGTCAGGCCAGTGACTCTCTGGCGATGGGAGGGGTATTGCTTCTAGTTTTCTGGAACTGAGGATTCTAGCAAGGCTTCTTAGTAGCATATGTGTGTGTCCTCTTCCCTTCATCCCACGCAGCAGTGAAGCACACTCAGTCAGGAAGAGCCGCTGAACTCTGAGTTAGTTATTGTTCTCATGTACTCAGTAGAATCAAACTTTTTTTTTCCTTACTTCCACTTATGAATTTTTAAGTCCCTAATTAGGAACAGTGGCTTTTTTTTTTTTTTTTTTTTTTTTTTTAGCAATGGTAAGGCTTAGTGCAGTGATTCTCAACCTTTTTTGTACCAGGACGTATTTGTAAACATCGATGACCAGTCTCGGACCCAGTGCCCCCAGGCCCCTGTCTCCCAGTGTGCGGGGCATGGGGGCCCCCAAGCAGCCCCTTGCAGGCTGGAGCTTTGCCAGCCTGCAAGGGAAAAGCCACGGTTTCCCACGTTTTTCCCCTTTAAAGGAGAATCCATTTTTAAAGTTTGTTTGTGACCCTCTCATATATTCTTGTGACACACTTTTGGGCCATGACCCATGGGTTGAGAAACACTGGCCTAGAGAGAGACAGGTTTTGTTAGCCTTTCTATTCCATCACTTTGCATGTGAGATGGACAGAGGCGGTAGGGATTCAAAAGCTGCATAGTGTGGGCTTCTGACTTCCATGGCAGTGTTGCGATTCCAGATGAATGCTAATGGAACAGTGTGATCGTGTTAGTTACGGGCAGTGTGGTTCTGGAGGGGGCTTGGCCCGGTACCTAGGGGGAGGATTGGACTCTGGAGGGTGCTAGAGCCTCCTGGCCTTGGGGCTAGGTGGGACTCTAGTGCCTCGTTGGGCAGGTGGCTACTGTTTGACCTGGCACTGTGAAGTCTTGCCGTACTAACACATTCCAGTAACTGTGCACCATGAGCTATTGCAATGTGCTTTCTCTGTCTGAACTAGTGC